CCCCCCCCCCCCCCTCCTCCTACCCATTGTTATAAGCTGTATTGAAAATAGGGATTAATTTGCACCTCTCATTTATCAGCATCCGTCGACGCAGGCATTTGATAGCATACAAGTGGACGATCTAGTAGGCCAATATATCGTTTAATGAAATTTTATGCAAAACCATGATAAGCATGTAAGCGCAGAGGTTCTACGCGGGAGTCGGCATTTAGTTCCACTTCTACTTACGTCGCACCTTTCTCGCCCATCCACTCACTCGCCTGTGGGGTGACCCCACTTAATTGGATGGCTGCTGACCTCTCTTGCAATCTGAATGAACTGATATTGATGTTATGGATTGGAAACTTTATTATTATTATTATTAATGTTATTATAATTATTATTTGTTATTATTACACATTTCAAAATAATATACAGTAGGGACAATACAATGTGAAAGTTCAAATTCTTCATATTATAAGGAAACTATTTGGCCCTATCGGTGACGTATCGAGACATCTTCCTGCAGAACCGCTCTATTTCCTGCTCATTTGGCCCAATCCGGTATATATCTTCGAATCTGCAAAAGCAATAAAATGTAATGCATCTCGGTTTGTGCGGCACAAAAGCACTTAGCATTATTATCATTAATATTATTATGTTATTATCTGTTATTTATTATTCACATTTGAAAGCAATATGTAGCTGGGCAATACAACGTAAAAATCCAAAATCTCTATATCATAAAGAAACCGTGAAGCATTATCGGTGACGTATCTAGATATTTCCCTGCAGATTTGCTCTATTTCCTGCTCACTTGGTCCATTCCCCATCCACTTGGTCTAGATAAATTAGTACGTGATGCTTTCTTCCCTTGCTTACCTGCCTTTCGCCAACAAATGCTTGCACTTGAGTGTAGCTTGATTTTGGGTAGCTGTAGCTGCCCCTAGGTTTCTAAAAACGTAGGGTTTGGTTGACAGAGCTTACAGTGCTTTGGGTGCTTAGGATAAATAAAAGGAGTTCGAGCTACAGCACTCGAGGGAACAGAAAAGGAAGTTGCAAGTGGTAGAATGGGTGAAGGTGCATAAAATAGGGGTTGTACAGTGGATTGAGGTGGGCTAGCTGAATACAGAGATCCGTAGGAATAAGTAGGAGCAACAGTAGTAGTTAATCTTGAGTTAAAGCCGGAGAAAGCTCTGTAGTTGAACTCAGAGTAGTACAAGTGAGACGTCGTGCTCGTGCGATGACAAACACACTACAGAGGTGATTTATGATGATTTCATCCGCATGTTTGAAGACCTTCAAGTGACCTACTGGCGGTATCCAAAGAAAGCGACAGATGGAGTTGAAAAAAGCGTGAAAGGTCACTCTGTTAACTAGTTTGCCAGCAGGCGCCTTGTGAGAATGAATGCTTACACGATGCGATAAATCCTTTTCCCCATCCTATGATTTTTCCAATCATTACTTTAGCCTCCACAGCTTTTTGTGTTGCATTATTAATGTGTTGCATATTTGTTTATTTTTTGTTTTGCTTTATTTTATTTTTCATGCTTTAGAAATTTCTCAATCATATAATCGATATCGTTACTTCTGAGTATGGTGGTCTTGCAGAGAGGTCAGCAGCCAACCAATTGTGCGAGGCCACCCCACAGGCGAGTGAGTGGATGGGCGAGGAAGGTGTGAAGTAATCAGAAGTGGAACTATATAGACTCACCCGTTCTACGCGAGTTTTAACTGTCTGGCTAAACAGTGAAACTCTCCACATATACATACATAATTACATGGAATTTGTAAAGACAGTGGGATCGCCCGAATAGCGCCTGCCTGTCTTCCTTCTGATGTGATTGATTGTTCTCAACGTGGTTGAGAACAATCATCAGTCCCCCTTTTCTTTTCGGAAAAATGAGTTTAGCAGCACCCTACGTCAAGCGGTACAAAACCACTCTGAATAAAATCGATTGGTTGCTGAAATCGATCACTACGTTAACAGTTATACCACCGCAATTCCCCACCTTTCTTGGAGTTGGAACACTGTACGACTAAAGAAACAAAACTGCGGTTGAGCGGTCTGCTACACAATAAATTGATGTGGCATATCGGTGTATCGGACAACATCCCCACAAGGGAAATCCTTTCGAACAGTGAATCCCTACCACACATGAAGGCTACACGTGTGGAGGGGGCCATTCTGAGTTAACACTATGTAATCTAAAAGGCCTCAAGGCAGAATTGTCGATTTCAAATCCCCACTTCCCCTTTGCCCCTCTTCGGATTTCGGTCCTGCCACCTGCCATCAGTCCTCCCGTCCTACCGCCTACATCTCTACCAAATTTGAATGCCTCAGATTTCTAGATTGAAATCAACAAATTTCGCGCAAGACCCGCCCTCAGTGGGTGGAGTCTACACTGACGCGTGCGAATAGCTTTCCTATTCTGCCGCCTGCATCTCTGCCAAGTTTGGTGCTCCAAGTATAATCTAACACTTTGCATAAGTCCCCCCCCCACCCAGTGAGCGGAGTCTACAAACGACACCTGCCATTAGTTTTGCTATCTTGCCACCTGAACCTCTACAAAATTTGAACGCTCTAGATCCAAATAAGGAATTTTTGAGTAAGCCCCGCCTCTAGTAGGCGGAGTCCCCATGTGCCATATATTAGTGTCCCCAATTTTCCATCTGCATATCCTCTGAATTTGAGCCTCCGGGTCCAACTTATTTAGAATTATGCGCAAGCCCGCCCTTGGTAGGCAGCTACGCATAAGATCTGTCATTAATTTTGCTAACTTGCCACCCGCACCTCTACAAAGTTTGGTCACTCCTGTAGTATATTAACAGTTTTCGCGCAAGCCCCTCCCCCAGTGAAAATAGTCTACACATGCCACCCGACATTAGTTTTCCAATCTTGCCATCTGCAAATCTATCAAATTTGATCGCTCCTGTGCCACATTATCATTTTTCGCGCAAGGCCCGTCTTCAGTGGGCGGAGCCTACACCTGTCACGTGTCATTCGTGCTACTTTTCCGGTGAATCACACTTTTTGCGCGAGCCCCGCCCCCAGTAGGCGTAGCCCAGCTTGTTTCTCGTGTTCCCAAGTACCTCGGCTCATTCCCCACTTGTTCCAACCTGTCCTAGCTATTTCGGTCCGATTTCCAGAAGGCGCCAAGAAAATGGCTACAAACGGATGAACAGACAAACAGATTTTGTTGTCTATGCATAGTTAGGGTTCTGGAGTATCACTCTCATCATTTGTCTGATGCCCCAAAATTATCGTAGTGCACACACCTAAGACGGACCAGTTCTTGAGCGTTGTAAAAGCTGTCTGCACTATTTGCACCGGAACCCATATTTTGTACACAGGCAGCTTATTGCACCCAGCTATGTGCGATTCCGCGCCTACTGGAAGAGCTCATCCGAATACCCTTCCCAAGCTCCAACTTCATCGTCTCATTCTCGTCGACCAAGCCGTAAATTAACTTCTTTCTTGAAGCCTACTTCTCTGAATACGCTAATTTTCTCCTTTTTTGCATTATTCTGGAGTATTACTCCTACCATTCGTTTGATACCCCGAAATTATCGCAAACTGTGCCTTTAAATATTGAGACTAGTCAACAGGATGGGTGAACTAAACCCGTCGTCCATATACTGCAAACATGCATGTTACTTTCCTGCAAATATAGATGCAACAGCTGACGATCCCAAAATAGAACCATTACTTGCCAGGAGTGACACATGCACAATAACCTTTTATCAAAATGTTCTGCCTTATACCATAAGCGATACTAGAAGGCCAATCGCATAAACGCGACGTGGTGTAAACGTGGTATGAACGACAGCTGAAAACCCTGTGCGAGTGTTGCGACGGTGGCGGAGAGCAGCCCTCATTCCTCCTACGCCAAAACGCGGCAGTGCCCCTACGCCACGTTGGCTAATGATGTTGAAGCTACGACTCCGCACTTGCGATTAACACTATCTTCGAGCGAAATCGAACGCTAATAACGTCTTTACTGATGCCAATTTACATCACAGTCGTAAACACTATTCCAGACCTAACGACACTCTTGTGTATCCACATAAAGCTCCATAGTAAGGTAACTACCATTCAGGGGTCAGTAGATCTTCCTATCATCGACTATCTTCAGCTCCGTTGTGTCTAATCGTAGACACTAAAATACTAAGACTCAAGTGATTATGAGAATGTACGAATCCAGCTCACGGCCCATAAAGTTCATTGTAGCTCTTACTAGTCGCGACAGTTTTCCTCTTCGATCACCTAGGATCTCTATTTACCCCACATCACACATTAAAGTAGCGCTGCTCCACAATTTATGCGAGGTCACTAGCTCCTATAGCCTGTGATCCACTGTCAGTCATTTATCAGCTGTTATCAGCCTCGTTCATCCACCTACGACTACCGCTCTCCAAAGTTCCAAGGCTAGGCACAGACACGGCCACGTGCATATATAATATATGCACACACACTAGAGCCAGCTAAACAAACAAACAAACAAACAATAAAACATAAAATAACGTAACATAAACAGTATCCATTTACTCATACACACATACTCTCGCTACACACTCAGAAACACAGCCGCCCCCACACATATGCATCAAGATCCAGCTATACATATACGTAAAACCCTACGTAGACATATACAATGTACGTTCAATCATAAACAAAAACACGTAATATTATATATCGCACTTACCGCATAAATACAATGTACGTAGTATAGATGCACATATACACAAATATTCGGGAACGGAGAACTTTTAAGAAAAAAGTTCTTCAATCCACGTTCCACACTTGATTTAGATATCTTTTTAGGCATCTTGGAACCCAACGCTATAGTTGGAATCAAGTTTCGCGGAGATAAATTGCTTGCTCTCCAGAAAAGAAACGATGAACAAATGAAGCAACTTGAGGCAAGGCTTAATGAAGAAGTCAAGGTAAGAAAATTATTCTCTCGAGTCAACGTATCCCACATATAATATATGCTCTTGAGTGTCATGGTGTTGATTCCCTGGAAGCAAAGCATCTTCGTGATTTGATTGCTAAACGGTCAGATAACCTCAAAAAAGCATATAGGGGAGTAGTGGTTGAACTTGCCGATTTGCATGATCGATCTGAGCGAATGGTGTCAAAGAAAGCTGTTCAGGTATGTTTTGATGTCTTGTCGTCACTTTTCCTAATATATGCATACCTCATATCTTTAGCACGTCATCGATCTCGCCAACTCGCGTAATCTTTTCGCGCAGATTTTTTCGTTGGAGACAGCAAAGGTTCATCTATGTGATATGTAAGTCTTTCAGTCGTTGACGGGTGTCTTGTAGTAAATAAAAATGAGCCCAAGACACCGGAAGGTAATCGTATTAATTTTAGTCGTTGCTGTCCTTCTCCACTAATATTTCCATTTTTTGATTCATCAATCCTGGCTGTGGTTTTTCCACGCGAATTGCAGCCATGAATAGCGGCACCACACATGTCGTAGACAAATTTCCCTTCTCTTATGCCCCTTTGACACACGCAGCCATCTCTTAGCAGTCTTAGTAGATAGAATCATCGGCCATAATCGAAAACTATTTCTTCCCTTCTCTTTTGACTCTCCATTTTGTCCAACAATCCATGACGCTGGCACTTGCTATCATGATGGAATATGATATAAGTGTTGGATTAACATCGGTAAGCCGGCTCGTCATCATGAATGATCCACTTGTTGTGATCACTTTGGCTTCAAAAACTTCTCAACACGTCCACCGTGTTTCGTGTTCGCTCCTGTTGTCGCAAGTTCATGGCCACCCTTTGGACTGCGATCCGCATCGGCGGTACGAGCTCCGCAAACCTCCTCGCTCATCGGACCACCACGCCCTTCCTGCGCCCCGAGACAGGAGGGCGGACCAACCCCCGAGGACTAAGGGGTGTCGGCTGGGAAGGCCTCCGCCTTGCCAAGCGACCTCAGCCTAGTACCTCGCGACAAGATCCCTGCCCCCGACACAGGGACCAACTGACTGAAGGCGGCGACATAACCTACTTCTCCCGTGACCGTGACCAACCAGAGTGCCCTACCTTACTCACTTCCCCAAGACAAGTACAAAAGTAAGAAACACTGGTTTATTATTCTAACTACGAACTACACTACAACTACGAAATGCTAGATAGGTAACTACACTATAAAGATAAACGTGTGTGTTAGAGCCAGAGGATATCACAAGAGCGTAAAGTGATTATCTCTATATATATAAACCGCTAATTTTGTGTGTCCGTTTGTGTGTCCGTTTGTGTGTCCTCGCAAAAGTCACGTAGGCACGATCAAGAGCGTGGAGATCAAATGAGCGCAGTGAGAAAACAGCTATAGAACTGGGAACTCAACCGATGCTCATTATATGACGTCACAGACTAAAAATCAGAGCTCGCCTCCCACGACGCAGAACAATCAAACCCCTAGGATCTAGAGAAGCTCCGAATGGAAAAAATTCCACGATCACCTATTACTGTTAAGAGGTCAATACCGACAAAGCGGTTCAAATTGAGGAATATCACCTAATTCTTATACATCAAACGTTCTCCTGACTATTTTCTGTCGTGCTGAATACTTATATACTATGGACGACTCAGCTATCGGTTCGCAGCCAACTGAGGGAGGAGAGAGGTTAGGCTTCGTGGGCAAGGAACCCTTTTTGCTCATGAAGAATTTTTACCGAAAGTACCTTTGCATTTAATCTGTTTTCCAGGATACGACAGCTCATCATCATGTGGGAAGCGCTTGCGTCTAACTGTTTGTTTGTTCGTTCAATTGTACAGAAATTCGATATTACTTTAGGGAGCTCCTCCATAAGTCTTGTCAAGTTTGGGATGGGTTGGGGAGAGGGCAAGAACAAAAGAACATATTTGAGCCCAGCGCCGCTCCTACTTCAGGGGTGGGACATGCACAGGATTGGGTGATGTCCTGGGCAAAACTTCTTAAAATAAGTCGGGTCAGGTTCTTTCTATTTCCTAACAGCCCAGGTTTGGGATGGGTTGGGCATAGGGCAAAACCAAAAGAGCACATGTGAGATCAGAGAAGCTCCGCCTCCAGGGGTGGGACATGCACAAGAGTGGGTGGTGACATGGGCAAAACTTGAAAAGGTTCTTAACAGCCCAGACGCCCAGAAAAAATAGGCAAAGTAGAGGGAAAGGTCAACAAATAGAATGAAGGAGAGGCAGTGGGCGGCATTCTCCCCACAGCTTCATAACTCCATTCAAAGAGGGCGTGGAGGCTGGAAAAAATAAAAGGAGCGAGCAGGGCCTTATGGTGGTGGGCACGCGTGCATACTTAGCAAAGCTCCGCCCACGATAGGGAGCATGGGTTAATGTTAGCTTCTTTTTAAAAAAAGCTCATAAATCTATTTGAAAACGTTCTATAATGTTAAAATGAGTGTATAGATCATCCCAGAGAAGATCGGACAGTGCTCTCTGGAAGGGCCTTCTATCACTTCTGAAGAAATTGGCATGCAAGTAAATTAGTTCTTTAACCCATTGACGACCGCGTGGCCCGTATACGGGCCACACCATATCGTGCTCCTGGGACCGCGTGGCCCGTATATGGGCCACAGTAGTATTTTTCATGTATAACATTCACTTTCAATTTTTTTGACGCTTTCGAGTATAAAGCAGGATTATGACCCTCTATAGAATCTTGAGGCGCAGTGGTCCGCGTATTTTTGACTTCCGTCTATAGTAATGACAGAAAACAAAAGTATCTCTGAGGGCAGCGATAAAGGAGCAAGACCAAAGTTTTTAAACTAATAAGTTACATGCACTTCTTATGTTAACTCAGAAAACATTCCAAACAAAAGTATTCGTGGCATTTGTCGCACTTTGTCGAGTCTTTTTTTGCATGGTTCATGGCATATAGTCCCGTAGTCTGGGCATTTTCACAAGTCCCATCTGAATGCACAGTGCGATGAACTTCTTCAGCTCTTCTTTATTAGTGTCCACGAAGCTAGAGTCCTTGTGCGACCCGTATCTATTTGTTTCCGTTCCTATAAGCGTCAGAAGATTGTCGTCGATGAATAATTGGAAGAAATCTATCGGAGCAGAACACATTGACACCGCATTGTTCGGCCCATGTTGCTGAGTGAAGTCCCACCTGGTGTCAGCTTCAACATCACTTATCCATTTTTCGGTGCCACTGTCTTCGCTGTCAAGTGTCGTCACCGAACTGGAATCTGAAGTAGACTCTTCTGTTGAGGGAAAAATTGCCTGCGAATCCTGTGAATCATCTGTATCGCCGCCTTCGTTTTCAGCGTCGGAGTCCAACAGTAAATCTCGAAAGTGTTCGTCCAGATCGGCATCATCATAATAATTGGAATCCACCATCCTAGGGAAAAATATAATTTTAACCATAATTCATGCATGAAGGGGTGCAAAGTTACCCTTCCTTTGTAGCTTACTTGGAAGGATCGAGCGATAGAATAATCCCAATTTTTACACCTTATTCGCCGCCATTACGAGGCTTACAAGTTGGCGATTGTGGCGTAAAAAGTTAGAATTATTGCTGGTGTAAGTAAGCAAGCTTGAGGTACCTTACATATTGTAAGGGACCTCAAGCTTGGATAAATGCACCAGCGAATCCACTCGATTGCAAAATACTAAACTACTAAAGCGAAGGGAATATGAATAAAACCATGATTGGACGGGTGTCAGGCTCGGGCATTTATATCCGGTCTTCACAGGTGGCTGCTTCTGAAGAATTCCAAAGTAAAGCTCAGATGTTCAGCTCTTTTCTAAATTCTTACGAAGTTCATACAGCTTTTCTGTGCCGAAGAAATTTACAGCTGTTCTATGATGAAAGAGATGTTAGATGAAAGTGTGTTTTTTCATCGCCTTTCCCAAATTTGTAAGTCATAGATCGCCACAGTATAGCCGATGATTTGAAATAAGCCATTCTGATTTTATATGTTTCTCTGAGTTTCGATGGAGTCGGATCTAGGGCACATTTAGAGACAAGTTTGTAGAAGTTTCCTATATCTTTTAGAACACTAAAAAACAACAATGGATGCCATAACGACAGCACTGTTTGTTGTGTACAACTTATCTTTTCTTCCTTGCCATTTTTATAAAATTTTTTGTTTGGTGAAAGTGTACACAAAAAGTAAGATTGCTCCTGGGACCGTGTGGCCCGCCGGCGGGACACAGACAGAGCCCGCGAAAAATGCGCTCGGTCCCACACGCCAGACACGCTAAAAAGGCGCGGTCGCCAATGGGTTAATAATACCAATAAGATTCTGAGTAGTGTTGGAAGCCTTTGATATGTATGCTTATCTCCTTTCTCTATCATTCTTTAACCAAGCACGCACATCCTAGAATGACGAACTCAAGATGAGACAGTGTTTTCTAGAATTGTTTTATAACCGCTCTGATGAAGTCCGAGATGTAGTGTCACATGAATCCACTTCAGAAGTAAATGTTGTGATCATTCACGTTGGAGAAATTGTACTGAAGTGGTGGGGGTGAATGTAAAAGGGCTTTCCAACTTTGACACAAGGAGGAGGATGCCCGGCGTAGCCTGGCATTACATAAGAAAGAGGAGAGCCCGACGTTAGCTCGGCGATCCGACTGGTCATGAATAAAGTACATTAAATGTGGCAATGACGCAATATAATAAGGAGCAAAGCGAGCATATACACAATGAACAATAGCACACACTCACTCACTCACCTATCCCTCGATCTTCAGGCTTCCTTCAAGGCAAGTTTCTCCAGCTGTCCATTCCAGGCCCCATTGGTCTCGGCGGTCTTCTTGCCTTCTTTCTCAGTATCCAACAGGTGACAACTGCACGCCCTCGGAGAGGGGTGCTCGGATACTGGTCGGGCTTACACTGGCGCTCCGTTGCCTTATGGGCAACTTCACAGCGTTACCCAGTTATACGGACCAGCAGCCAACAGCGAGCTGGTCGCGGTGCGTGACGAGTGACGACTGACTAGGCTATGCGAAGGAGCAACGCGCGCACATATGCGCCGAGCAAAGATGGGCCGGGGCGCGAGCGGTGCGCCCAGCGGCCATCATCACATCCGCGACACCTTTGGACTTTCTTGTTTCTGAATAATATCCCCTGTTCGCTGATCGCTAACGTTTGAACATGCTCACTATACGTTCTTTAGTCCGAATGAGCGAACATCTTCCTATGATTAGACTCTGGGCTGTCCAAGTGAAGAGTCGCTAATGTTTCAAGGAGAAACTTTCATCATGAGCAGCGCATCAGCCGCATATTCGTAAAGTTCGAATCGAAAAAAAACAAGCCTACAGCTCGCTATTAGCTCAG